AAAAAAAAAAAAAAAAAAAAAAAGTTGGCATTAGTATTGTCAGGCAATATTTCAGCCAACTACAGAATTTAAAAAAAAATCCAATAGCAGTACCAGCATATCTGAAATTGATATCTCGGCCACCCCTTGAGTGAAAAAGGAAAGAGAGAAAAAAATCATAAATCTCTCAAGGGAATAATCTAATTAGAGCTCAACTTGGAAGTTGAAAAATATGAATTATGCATGAACAATAGTAAAACTAACCATCAGGACCAGCAACAATGTTGCCTAAATCGCCCGCATGACGCACATCATCAGTGGGAGCTCCATGATCCTTCTTAAGTGGATTAAAATGAGGTCCTAAACACCAACGGGTTTTAAGTTGTGTGCATTGACGATGTAAAAAGTATTTTACACAATCAGGTAATATAAAAGTTAATGGCAGGTAACACTCTGTAACAGAATTGAAGGGTAATCTTTAATTAATTGGTAGTAACCTGTTATAATAGTTTAAATTATACTAATGGTATTATTCCACTGTCAGTACACAAAACAGTACAGAAGTCAATCACCCCCACAACCCCAAAAAGAAATTGCACCATCAAATAACAATAGCAACAGTGGTTTTACAGCTAAACAGAAACCCCCAAAAGAATCTTGAAGTATTACAAGAAAAAGCAAGCATCTTGAACTACACAAAAAGGGGGGAAAAGAAAGCAGAAAAAAAGTAGAGCAAAGGATGTAGCTTTTGACCAGTGGAATTGCAGCCATTGGTAGTATCGCCCAAAGCATGAATATGGAAACCGTGAAGACCTGGAGCGAGACCAGTTATTCTTCCTCTCACATGGGTAGCGCCTGTGTTGTATACCCAAATCCAAAGAAGAAGAAGAAACGTTGATTGATACACATAATAAAAAGATATGGGGGACAAAAGTGGGGATTTACCGTTGGGTTGTTGGATGAACTGTAAGGAGCCTTTGACGCTATTGTTACCAGAGATGACAGCCACTGCTTTCAAGGCGCCCATTTTTCCCTACAATATTCAGACTCTTTCTCCATTTTTTGTGTGTGTTTTGGGCTTGTATAAGGGTCAGCTGCCAGGTGCCTGCCACGCAGCCATTTATCTGTTGGTCCTTTTTTTTGCTTCGGGAACTCAAAATTCATGGATAAATTACATTTTAGATAAAAGATCCCCTTGATTCTGATGTTTTCCATTAAATTTCTCCGAACTGATAATCATTACTTTCTCCCATCCCTTTTACATGTTCTTTTGCTAAAAATTTGTTCCAAGAATTGCTAATTTTTCCTTCAATCATGTAAAGAAATTAAGCTAAAAAGTAATAATAACAAATATGAAAGGAAGAAATATAGAGAGAAACAATGAGAGCTTTTTTTTCTTAATTTCTCCCAAGTGTTTTCAAGTATATACAATAGGACGTCCAAATTCTTTATTTGTAGGATTCCATTGAGGTAATACAAAGGATTATCATAAATATGATATTAAACATTAAAATCATGAATAAGTAGTAAAAGTTACAAATATAAGTAATAAAGTAGTGTGAGTTATAGACATAACATAAAATAGTAGCGAGTATTTATTCCTAGAGTAGTCGATGCAAATAGACATATGTTGTAACGACTCGACCAATCGTTTTGAGCTCTAGCGCGTCATTCAGCGGTTTGAGACCCTGAGCAACTTCACTTCGGGTATTATGACTTGTACGTATGGTCAGAATTTAATTTCGGGAAGTTTGGAGTTGATTTGGAAAGAAAATTCTAATTTCGGAAGCCTTAAGATGGAGGAATTGACTAAAGTATGATTTTTGAGTAAACGACCACTGAATCGGGATTTGAAGGTTCCAACAGGTTCGTATGATGATTTTGGACTTGAGCGTATGCCCGGAGCGGGTTTTGGATGACCCGGGAGCATTTCGGCGCCTATTATGAAAATTGGCATTTTGGAAGAATTCCCTAAATTTGAGTTGAAGTGCATTTCAATGTTATCGATGTCCGTTTGGGATTCTGAGTCTGGTGATAGCTCCGTAGCATGATTATGGTATTGGGAGTGCGTCCGGATGTGGATTGGGAGGCACGTAGGTCATTTCGGGGTCATTTGGCGAAAGTTAAAAAATTGGTTAATTTTGAGAAGTTTGACCGGGAGTGAACTTTTTGATATCGGGGTCGGATTCCGATTACGGAAGTTAGAGTAGGTCCGTAATGTCAATTTTGACTTGAGTGCAAAATTTGAGGTCAATCAGACGTGATTTGATACGTTTCGGCATCAATTGGAGAAGTTTGGAATTTCAAAGTTCATTAAGTTTGAATTGGAGAGTGATTCGTAGTTTCGATGTTGTTTGGCGCGATTTGAGGCCTCAACTAAGTTCGTAATGTGTTTTGGGACGTGTTGGTATATTTAGGTGAGGTCCCGAGAACCTCGGGTGGATTTCGGATGGTTAACGGATCGAGTTTGGACTTGGAAGGAAAACTGAAGCATCTGTCTTCTGGTGTAACCGCACCTGCGAGGTTTTGGCCGCAGGTGCGGAGC